ATATATGTATACATATATATATACACACAAACACACATAAAACACACACGCACACACACAAAACACACACACACAAGCACACACACACATCACACGCACATAACTTGAAACAAATATAATACAGGGTGTCCAAAAAAGAGGACACGTTTAACCATTCAAAGGGCAATGGCTCTGCTACCTTTGTACCAATTTCAACAAAACTTTGAAGCAATAATATACAAATAGGCGGACATTTAAATTGTGAATGTTTTTAAAAAAATCAACCGATATTTTTTAAAAGTTCAAGTTTGTCGATCTTCATATTATTTACACACTTGACGTCCCCCATGGTTGAATTTTATTTGCTAGACGTTTTTCTGAGATTGACATGAGATGATGGGGTTATTGCCCTATAAGTGGGCCCTCTTTTTTGACACATGTTAAAAACGCCCCACTTTTCAAATGCACATTATGTTGATCAGATGTCGTGTTTGGTCAAACATTCACAATGTGAGACATTGCAGACCGTCAGGCAGTTTAAATAAACATTCTTTTGTCGGTTGTGTCATCTCTCATTTTGTAATGCACAAAACGTGCAAAACATAATTTTCTTTAGTTTTTTGTGGTTTCTTTTTGCAATATATCAACCAGATTAGCCCCAAACATCAACACTCAACTGTTGAGAGAAAAGACACACTTTTACTTCTTAACGAAGGTTTCAACACTCATGAGCGCAACTGCGCCATTTGGGATTCTCATCGCCGGTTAAGTCCAAAGCAAATGGAGGCACGCTTTAATGTTGATCAGCAGACTCTCGGAAGGCTGAATGAACGTTTCCAGAAAACTAACAGTGTCGCCGATCAACCAAGGACGGGGCAACCAGTCGGACAACGAGATCAGCATCTATATTGGCATTCGCCGCCTAAGAGATCGTTTTCTTCTTTCCACTTAACAGCCAGAGACCCCGTGGGACAAACCAGAGTGCAGGGAGTACACAAACTATCGGTCGGCCAATGTGCAACAAGTTTATAATGCATTAATCGCAGAATGGAATGGATTACTGCTGAATACCATTTCAAGTCTTACTCGATTAATGCAGTGTCGAATACTCGTCACGATCTCAGCACGAGGCGACAATTTTCATTAATGAACTTTTCAGGGATGGGGGAATGTTGAACTTTGTTTGACGTAAACTCATGAACACACGGAATAAACCACGTCTTTTGTTCTATATATGTTGGTAATGTGTCTTTACACCTCAGTGTAAACGCCAGCGTTGGACCCACCTATCTATTTCTTTCCAATCGCATTCCTTTAAGTCAGGCGTTTTTAATGGGGATGAGTATATATAAATACTATAACGTGTGTGTATGTGTGTGTGTGTGTGTGTGTGTGTGTGTGTGTACGTGAGTGTGTGCGCGCCCGCGCGTTTGTCTAAGTGTATGTCTGAGTGTGTGTGTGTGTGTGTGTGTGTGTGTATGTGTGTGTGCGTGAGGGGGTGTGTGTGTGTGCGTGCGTGTGTGTCTGTCTGTCTGTCTGTCTCTCTCTCTCTCTCTCTCTCTTTCTCTCTCTGTGTGTAAGTGTATGTGTTTGAGTGTGTGTGTGTGTGTGTGTGTGTGTGTGTGTGTGTGTGTGTGTGTGTGTGTTAGTGAGTGTGTGTGTAAAGGCAAGGGTTTGTTTGCGAAGGGTGACGGGAGAAGGCAGAGAAAAGTCGAAAACAAAAATGTTCAGAAAGAACGAACACAAATCCCTTTGTTTCTTTGTTTGTTGAGAGTGAATAGAGACGAATCCACCCAACAACGGTCGCAGAGATCAAGGAACGAGCAGGAAAGAAATACACGAACTTAAATTACGAATTAAAAAAAAAAATGAAATACTACACCACATGTTTCAACCCACGCACAAAACAAAACGTAACAAAAACTGAGGAAGCTAGACCAAGGCGAGAGATTCACACGTATCCCATCAACACTTTACAGCTAGAAGCTGGGAACATTCTGGAGGAAAAGGTGGGCAGGGAGTACAAAGACCAAGGAAAAAAAGCGGCGGGGGTGGAGGAAAACAGAGGGTAAAAGTACTTTAGGACCATTTCTTAACATAAATAAATAATTAAAGACGTCTTTCTGGCCTGATGTCATGGCCCGCATATGTGGCACCATAGAGAATGGAGGGCCCCAGATGTGCGTGGGTAGGTAAGTATCGTGCCGTCTAAAATTTGTGGCGCAGCTTATCCTCAAATATCTCTTTAACGCGTGAGCCAATGTCACCCATACTTTGCACAGCAGTTGGTATCCATTTGTCTTAACCTAATCGTATTTTTCCACAACAATAAGTGAGACTTGATTAAAAAACGTTTCTTTATATATCTACTCGTATATATAAAATACTACAAATCTCAGTCACGCGGAAAATGCAGTACTTCCCGCTTCTCATACACATTTTGTATACGCATATGGCCCACGTCGCATAACGTTTTACACCTTTTCCCGATCAAATATCAAAATACAGAGGTCAAATAATAGAAATATTGACCAAAATCTGGCTGTGCGATGAACTGTTGCACATAAAACCAACTTGTTTCGCTCGCTCATATAACCGTATGCAGTTGCCAGCGCCGTAAAACTCTTACTAAAACTCAAACTCAAACTCGAGAAGAGCAATCTTTAGAGAGCCTTTGTCTGAACCACAATTATACCCTCACGACTCACCAGTTTCTCTTGATCTTTCTGAGCTTCCAGCCTCTCAAGTTCCCCTGCGTGCATCTTCTCCATCGCAGCAATCTTGACAGCGTAGTCGTTGGCAGCCTCCAGCATCTCTTTGCTGAGTCGTGACTGCTCCCGCTCCAACTGGTGCTCCCACTTGGCCTTCTGCTCATCTCCCAGGGACTTGCTCTGCTCTAGGCTGGTCTGCAGCTCTTGGATCTGCATAAGACAGGTCGAGATGACAGATTCAGAATGACAAGCAGTTTTTTTCGAATTAGTCGGTTTAAATCAGAGTACAACGTTTCAGTCTGCAACGCATTTATTTACTCTTTTAACCCCC